TTTGCCTTATTATTTTTCGCGTGAATTTGTGATTGCATGTGTTTAATTCCTCGTGTTTATACTGTGCGCGTGTGTGTGTGTGTGCACACGTGCCCGTGTGTATGCTTCCTGAGCGAGGATATCTGCGTGCATGGCTCCGCACTTGCGCCCACCACCGTCCCCGCTCGCGCGCGCACGCGTCTGCGTGTGTGCGTGCGTGCGCGCGTGTGTGTGTGTACTTCCGAGCACGCGCGAGTCCCAGACGTCCACGTGAAGTCACCTTCACCTCTACAAGCCCCGTGCCAACGACAGCATCGTGAAAAATGAGCGGTGGTTTTTGTCAAACGGGGGAGTGTTTAATGGAGCTTTCGTGCCTTATTAAGTGCCTCAATTTTAGTGTTATTTTTTCTATTTTCCTTCAGAAATACAATTAACCCCAGGTTTTCTGTTCTCATATCCATCACGTTTCACATTAGAAACGTATTTAAATTGCGTGTTTGAGAAAATGAGCGTGGGGTATTGCTGATCCCCCCATTGGCGATTCTGAGCGTGTTGATGACAATTCCACATTGTGATGGCGGCGGGGGTGGGGGGGGGGTCTTGTCTCCCCCAACAAGACGGCCGCCGTTGGCTTGCCAAAAATTTTTTTACATCTTTTTACCGACTCTGCATGGATGATGGGCGGATCCCTACGTGCTAGCTGGAACTTTAACTCGAAATCTTTTAAAAGCGAGTCAAACGGTCTGGCACAGTGCGTTACCTATATAAAAAAACAACATCGGGGAGCGAAGTTTTTCCTTGGTATTGGCAGCGACTTTTACTTGTGAGGATGTGTTCGTAATCGTTCTCCTCCAGCCGGTAAGAGTGCCACACCGGTCGCGTAACCGCTTTTATCCATTCCCCTAATCAAAGAATTTAGTGGCCTCATAAAATAATGGTTATTAATTTTTTATATATTTAAAAAACTGGACCGTGTTTCTCACGTCAGGCTGGGTGGCCTGGTTTCAGCTTTAAAATTTTGTCACCATAAAAATGTGTATTAAATCAAAATGCATCTTTCATTTCATGAAAACACGTCCATATTTGTATCGGTGCTTTTTCCATTTTTCGATCAATCGATTAAATCCATTCAAAATGTTTTAGCTGCTATCATGACCTGCACGTAATTTAGTTTAAAAGTAATCACGTGTCTAAACCTTGCAAAGGGCGTAGAACACAGAGTCTGTAGCGTGGCATAGAAAGCAATGATTGACCTTGGCGAGAGTGAGCTCTTTTCTCCAGAGTAATAATCACAAGTTAGATTTACAACGTGCTCAGGATACGTGCAGCGGGCTTCGAACGAGCAGTGGAGGTGCTCCTTCTGTCAGCAAAGTATCACTTCTTGTCTGGCACGGGGAGTTCATATCGTAGAAGTATTTCTGTAGTTCCTCGCTATATGAAACTCAGTTGTGCTGTTTGAAGAGGAGTTTACCACGTATCAGCCATCATAAACAAACGTGCGATTTGGTTCTCGGTTAGACTGAACTGAGTGGGAAAAAATGCATACGACAATGTTATGCAGTCATTAGCTGAGACCATCGACCTTGCTATAATTGTGATCCTTGATCCTGGTTAAATCGCGTATTCTCCCTACCTGGATCTGGGCCCAGGTTCTTAGTGGGCCTTACCTGGTAAAATGAAAAACAGTTTAGTTTAAGTGTGCCGTCAATTTTGAAATACACTTTCAAGACCCCCCCCCCCAGACCTCATTTCCAAAAGTAGATCACCATGTGCCAGAATTATGGCCCAGATTGCCAATTTGAAAAATTGCCCTCGACCAAATTACGCAACAACAACGACGACGACTGCGCCAGGCGCTCGTCGCAGTTAAAAGCGTCTGTGCCGGATTTGCCAGGTTCTGCCCCCGCCGCCCACCGTTGCTGGAGGCAATTATCAGCACGCAGCCGCCACGACGGTGGTGACGAATAAAAAAACATATGCGAGTGTGCTCCCTAAGATGTTTCTTTAGATTGCCAGATGCTGCCTGGTCTCTCATCCCCCCACGGGCCCTATCCCGACGACGCCCCAGAAAATGAGCAATCGCGTTTCGAGGAGCTCGTTGGAGCCGTGATTAAAACATACATCAAACCTGCGCGGCCTGTGACAGCCCACTCAGGTGTTCGGCGCAGGGGTCACCTGTCTGCGGACAAGAGAGGGCGTTGAGACCACGGGCAGATGGATTAACCCTCGAGTCAGCGGGCACACTGCCGCCACCTGTAATAGGGAAGGGGGAAAAAGATGCACGTTCAAAACAATTATCGTTGGTTCACACCAGGGTTTTATTTCAGCTGGAGCAGTCCAGGGCCGAGCTCCAGAAAATATCTTCCCGCCTTCTCTCCCACCCTCCACTCTCCACCCCCCTTCCCCACTCCCTGTCAGTGGGGAGGTTAGGGGTCAAGTTCCAGAAGGCGTGGGGGTTTGGGGGCCCCCTAGTAAGATCAGGAAATTTTCCGTGAGAAATGAAGCCCGAGTGAACGCTGTCATTTACGTAAAGAACCATAAAACATGCATAGGCACAATGTAAATAATAACAAGTCATCAGAAATAGTGTAAATATAACGTTTAATAAATAAAGGTGATTGCTTTTTGAGAATTATAATTGCCTGTGATTAATTTCTTGAACATTGACATTCATGATTGACGGCACTTATTCATTTTGTGATAAAAAAAATTTGTTTTAAATCTATACAAACACATTTTGTATTTACTTTTGGGGCACGATGGAGTGCGCTGTGGGGTGAATCGAGGAATCCATGCTGCTGCTGCTGCTTTTTTAATTTTGCATAAAGTTACTGTGAACTATATTCATCACGACAAAGTTGCCCAAACCTGATATCGCACCTGGGCCAAGTAACTACACAGCTGTAGTCACTGGAGATGGTCAATTTCCAAGAACACGTTTACATGGTCAGTTATTCTGTGCAGGCCAATCATGGTCCGGTCTAGACTGGCGAATCCCCTATATTTAAGAGCCTGGTATATACTCTTATTTTTTTTTTTTATAACCAAGTGGTGTTATGGTTAAGAGGTACTTGACTTGCTGGCTTCAAGATTTGAAGGAAGCTGGTCTTGTGGAGGGCCCTGCTCTAGTCTGGCTCTGTTCTCACAGAAGGCATTTTGAACCTTCTGAGAGCTTGACCGGCCACTTGTGTTTGAAGGGACTTCTTAAAGCGTCAACTCCCTTGTCAGGGAACCCAGCCTAATGAGCCGCCGCAGTCTCGAAGCTCAAATCTCTGCATCCCTCAAGCCACTAATTAGTCGCTAGTGTCCCGCGGAGCGAACTCTTTCGAGCAGATGCCTCAACCCGTGTTTGTCAAGTCAAAGTATCTCAGCGCTGTCACGAGCGAGCATGCGTGCGGCTCTGTGGATCACTTCTGTTGGTGCTGCCAAGCCACCGATGAAAATTCCATATTTCTGTAGTTGGTAGCCTCTCCCTGGGAACATCCGCTGGTGCCTTGCCACGAAGTGGTACTCATTTAATTTTATTCAACCTCATTATCTTTATTCCATTAATCCACTCAACATGGTGGTACAGTGGTGAGCATCCCATCTGACATCAGTGGTAAGTGCTACGTTCCAGTGATTGACACACCACGGTGTTGCTTTCATCCAAAAGTGGATTGACGGAGGGCGGGTACAGACGATGATCTGAGTGCACCTCCATTCGTAGTTGAACTGACGACCTTCAGATTGGGAGTTGCTGTCACTCTGCCGTACAGATATCGGCTGTTAACAAGCACGTTTACAATCCCAAACTCAAAGTCAGTTGAAAGATTTTGGATGGCCTTGTTCTGCAACCTCAAGTAGGCCATGGTTTTAAATGGTAGCAAACTTGATATTTCGATTTAAAGCTTTCGTGACTGCAGGGATTCATCGTCTTGGTTCTTTCGGTAAAGTCACGTAGAATTGTTTCCATTCTACGTGACTTTACCGAAAGAACCAAGAAGATAAACCTCACATTGTTTTATATCATGAGGAAGTGTTCATGCAAGGTTTTCCAAACTCCAGTTCTCACGGCCCATCACGCTACGTCCTTCCGCCAACAGCAATTTACTCCCATCCAATCAGAAATGGACTTGTTCCACGCTGCACGTGCCCCATGATTGTTTAGCACGTCCCACTTGACACACGAAGCAGCTAACACGTCACGTGCTGTTGGGAGCGATGTCACGACATGGCGAGATATATAGAATGATTTATGCACTGTGAGAAAGATAATGACAAGTGAACACAGGATGGGGCATCTAAACTGGGTTGGTCTCTAAAAGTGTGGCGGTGTAGCATTCCCTTACCATCATTGGTACACGCGAGATCCTCCTACAAACGAGCAGACGATAGTTTTCCATTAGGTGAGTCCCCCATCGAGTGTACAGAGAACCTCCAGACAAACGCTCGCCATCACCGCTGCCTCAGCCCCGCACCCCTTCCCACGACCGCTGTCGCGCGGACGCCGTGCCCTTGGGGTGTCCCCCCGGTGTTGGGGAGCTCCTGCCTATCCCTCACAACCCCTCCCCTCCCCACGCCAAACACCGCAGTCTGCGCTCAACACGTGAGGCGTTGTCCCCATTTTAATGTTGACCCCGCAAGCCCTCAATACTAAAGATTTGGTGCAATTGTATCGCACCATCATAACGATACCGGCGCGATAGTTTGCGGTGCGTGAAAATGTATTAATTGAAAAAAACTGTTCCTTTGTACCTCGAAGCCCGGTTACAGGCCTGTGTACCACCGTTCATCGTCATTAGTAGCCATGCTCAATCAACTACTTGATGAAGCCCTTTCATTTATTTTTTAGTCCCCCCCCCCCCCATAAGCAAACTTGAAACTTGTGGCAGACTGACTGCGATGCCCGGTCGGTGCAGCGTGCGCCTGCGGAGAGACGACGGCGTGTTGACTATGATGTGTCGCAAGCTGCTTCGTGAACCACGTGGGACGGGATTAACGTAATGCTTCGCTCTGTGCGCGCGTGTGTGCGTTTGCAGAACCATTTTGTGGCGTGCATGACGGCCATCCTGCGACAGATGGACGAGAGCCACTACCAGTACTACATCCAGACGTTCAAGACACGCTCCGACCTCGTCGTGAGTCTCCACTCTCCACCTTGAATGAGCACGCACGCTGTTTCTTCACGGCACAGCATACACAGCTCATGGCGGTGCGGGGGGGGGGGGGTGCTGCCGTGCTGTCGTGGTTAACAAAACGGACTTGCAATCCGGAACTAGCCGGTTAAATATCCCGACGCGGCAGTCGGAACGATGGGGATAGTTTTTATTGATCCCACCTCCCCCCTCCACCCCTACTTCACCCGGCAGTTTAAATCAGCACACCATGGTTAGCCGATCGGTGAGCCGTGTGTGGTGGGTTAAAGTGTGCGTACTTCTATCCCTTCCAAGACGTCCACGCAGCATGGAAGAGTAGGCCAAAAATAGCCTCTGGAGCTCCCTCTGGTGGAGGCCCTACCACCGGCACGGGTGCGGTGCCAGCCGGTGATTGAAAGGCGCCGGTGTTTGGCGTTGGGGCCGGTCTCCCCACAGGACGACCACCGTCACCTTCTCTCGTTTAATCGCCGCGTCGACTGTGGCAGGATGACGAGCTGAGTCAAGATCAGAACTCGTGAGCGGCCGATTGTGAACGGGGGTGCCTTTCTCGAACTCCTCGTGGCTAATACGTCATCTCGTCAGAGGGGGTCGACTCATCCCATCCTTCTTACAGGGTCGTGAAAATCGCTACTTCGTGGTGGGAAGCCAACACTCTCGTGCCTCTACGGAGACCGGTTTCTGCCCTAAGAATTTGGAATTTCCACTTCTGGTAGAGGGCTGCAAATGCAGTGATCAAAGATGAACTCATGACATTGTTTGAAGAACACAGCGTTGACACCACCCTTTGAAGGATATTCCCCATTAATTACGTTTTGTTAAACAGGGTTTACATTCAATTAGCAGTCATCACCTCTGCTGCCCGTGGGGAGTTTCAGAAGGGGCATTTATTCTTTTCTTGTCTTATTATAAATAACACGGCCGGGATGCTATAATTGGTGTTAAACCTTCAAACTAATTACGTCCACTACTCATAAGAAATTAACATGGAATTGATAATGAATCATCACCATCATGATCAGTCATTTGCTGTCCACATTGATGCTGTAACCAACCTCCCATGCTTTACTGCACGAACATCAGGTTGTACATGATGCAGACCAGAACGGAAGTCTTGTTTTCCTCTACAAATAACAGAAGCAGTCAGGGTGTCGCTGCACTTGAAGGGCAGTGGAGCTGGGCTCATATTTATTAGAGGCCCTCAGCCAGCTGTGAAAATTCCACATTACGGAATCGGGTTCCAGTTAATACTCGTGATAATATCTTAATGAGTTCCCACAAAGTGGCAATCAGTTAATCGACCAGAAAAAAAAACATGATTATGATGATGATGTAAGTCAACTCCAAACAATTAATACCAATATGTGTTTGTTTTAGCCAGGGTAAAAGCCTCATGAGGGGTCTTATTTGGGCTACTTGTTCTTTATTGGAGGAAACACAAGAGTACCCGCACCTCCAATGAACACTATTGGCTACGTAGAGTGTGAAAAAAGTTCAACATACATACCCACATATCCAGATAAAATCCAAACATAACATGCGGAAAACATTCTTGACGTATGTGACTTTACCGAAAGAATCAAGAATATGAATCGCTGCAGTCTCGAAAGCTTTAAATCGAAAAATGCGGAAAACACTCGCACTCCGCACAGATCTGGGTGGACGCTCGCTCTGCTGCACCCGGTTAGTCGGTGTCCCACGCCAATTCCTCATCCCGCCGTGCTTGGATAACCAAAGTTGCCAGATTAGAGGCGTGCACCACATCACTCCCACACACGTTGTCAGTCTTTTCAGATTTTTGAGACTTAATATATATATTTTTTGAACTAAAAAAAACGGCTTGCAGTGACTCCTTCATTTGCAGCTGAGAAGCAGGCCAACTACGGCGGCTGCATGTGGTCAATCTAATCGGATTTGGTCGCATTTATAAATGTGGCCAATACGATTTGGTACCTTTGTAAAGGAATTGGTCTGAGCACTATGACTCGAGGTTGCTATTAATAACATAAAAATACCATATTTGTTTCTTTTTTAAGAAATGCGAACTGGCTGCTGCTTCCTCTTGTTAAGCCGCGTTTTGGATGTAATTACTTAACTGCCTGCATTTTAATTGGTTTTGGAATTGTGCGTTTATTTTTATTCCGAAAAACAATGAATGTAAAATCAAAAGGGATGAACCGGTACAGGCTAACAAACAGTAAAATCTGCACGATGGAAAGACACTTGCAGCGTGAGATTACACGCAGCCGCGTCGTGCTACAGGCTCGTCAGAGCAACGCGTTACTCGCACGCAGGGAGCGATGGAGCAACCGGGGAGGGCCATTTCTTGCCGCACGAAGAGGAAGGGAATAAGGAGCGCTGCCAAGCCGCCTCTCGAACCCACGAATCTCTGCCCTGAGTAACGCCGGCTCTCCGCTCCAGCCGCGTTTCCTAGCAGCAGGGAAACAATCTGCCGGGATGCAAACGCAGCCCCACGCGCCTCGCAGTGTTCTTAAACACGTGCCCTGATTTCACCGCTCTCATCATTTTAAGCTCAATGACACGTGGCAGAAATGAGACACGGCTGTCAATTTGCAAACACCCCCCCCCCCGCCCCTTCCCTTCCGCCCGCCCACGCGTGCATGAACCCGGCGCCGCGTGCAGGAAGAACATCTGCCGTGCTTTGGCGCCGGGCTTATTTAATGTGAAACTCACGGCCACCGGTGACACCGCGACACGCTCCCCACGGCCGCGCCGCTGGGGGACATCTCTTCCCCAATGGAGGGGACGCGGGTGTGGGGGGGGGTGGGAATTAGAGCCCGACAACTTAAACATTGAGGACTGCGGTGTGGGGCCACATGGGAAGGCTGTTGGATAAATATGAAGAAGAAAAAAAATCAGCTTTGGCGGCATGTTAATGTTTAACTGCCATCTGTTATTCTAATCCCTCCAACGATTTAGACGATGAAAAAATATCAGACAGCGTTGGGGAAGTAATTCATTTTTTTGTTCTCTAATGTGTCAGTTGTATTAGGGTAACCTCATTTTGGCTTTCTTCTGTGTAGAGACTAAACCGTGATTGGCAAAATTATGCAGTGCGTATGGTGAGCTCATGCGACTAGGGAAATGAAATATTGCTGTTTACTCTCATTTTATCGTTACGCCCTGTGCGTTGGTTTTTCCATCGTGGTGTCAGCTTGCAAATGTATCTCTGAACGCACGATACTCGTGATAATTTTTCAAATTATAAGCAAATATGGAAACGGATTTGTGGCCGTATGAAAGAAGCAAACACTCGGGAAGATCTAAAGCCAGATGGTGGGATACTCTCAATGTTCCTTGGAGGTCTAATGTTGACTCTGGGATCAGAGTAAGACTTGGGCCAGGTGGTGGGATAATGTTGAAGCACACCCTGGTGGCTGGCTGTCAACTGTGTGACTTCTGGGATCTGGCAGAAGGAAAGAAGCAACTGCAACGGCTTGATGTGATTGCGCTTGATGAGGATGGATGCTGCATTCCTCCAGGACTTTCTGATGGAAACATTCATCATGTTCAAGAACCTCATCGGCAAGAATGTGTACCCGGCGGACTGGGTCATCATGAACATGATGCAGAACAGGTGAGCGCTCCAGGTTGCCCCCCTCGCGGCGCTTGAGGTGTGCCGGGAGGGTGAGCTGGTGAGTGGTGTCGTACGTCCGCTGGCTCGCATTCCCAGCTCTGCCGGGCCAACCCATCACCGGCTGTGCCGTCGGAAGGTAGTCCCGGGAGCCGGCTTTCCATAACGGGGTCGCAGCACTTAAAAGTGGGGCGGACGTTGGAACCAGTCGTGCACGTCGTGCGGGGGTCAGCGCGCAAGCGGCACACGCAGCGGTCAGCGTGCAAACGGGACATGCAGCGGTCGGCGTGCAAGCGGCACCTACAGTGGCACACGCAGCGGTCAGCGTGCAAGCGGCACGTACAGTGGCACATACAGCGGTCAGCGTGCAAGCGGCGCACGCAGTGGCACACGCAGCGGTCAGCGTGCATGCGGCACACGCAGTGGCACACGCAGCGGTCAGCGTGCAAACGGGACACGCAGTGGCACACGCAGCGGTCGGCGTGCAAGCGGCACACGCAGTGGCACACGCAGCGGTCAGCGTGCAAACGGGACACGCAGTGGTGAGTGGCGCGGCTCGCTGCCTCGGGCGTCAACGGCAGTGTTGTTTTGTTTCGAGTGAAGAGCGGAAAGTTACAAAGACAATGTGTAATCGTGTAATCTAATCAACGGATGTGTCCAATGCGCACTCTGGTAATATTATTGCTTGCAGGACAGCAGCGAGTGACCGGAAGTGAGTGTGGAGGGGGTGGTGGGGTAGGGGCGGGTGGGGGGTTGGGGGCTGAACTTGGCAGGGCCCCGTGTCTCTCGATGCGTGGGGACACGGATATCTGCAGGGCGCTCCGGGAACACACAGCCAATCTTACTGGTTGCGGAAACATGGCATGAATATCCGGTGAAAACAACGTGCAAGGGGTTCCAATCTAGAGGTGAGCCTGGTGTTGTTGGGGCAGCCCACGTCACAAGTGAACTAGGTCACGTGGGACGCCACGCACAGCCACATGGACGTCTCTGAATCTGATTCAATGAACGAGCCAAGGCGACGCGGATCCGCCTCGAAATTCCTGCCAAAGGAAACTCATGCCACCTATTGATGCGGGAGAGAAATTGAGCTTCAAAGAAATAACCCTCTAGGGCATTCGTTCTTGTTCCGAGTTGACAATGGCCCTGACACCCTTTTCGTTGTTAAAAACGGATTCAAGTATAAATGCATCGTAATCCGTTATTTGTCAATTGCTTTCCTAAGCACCAGAAAGCAACACATTATTTGAAGGTAGGGTTGCCGTGTTCATAGTGCAGCGCGCAAAGCACTACGTTCCTGTATTTGAGGGGTTATAAATACAAAGATCCCCCATGTAGCCTTAACAGACTTTTGCGGCAAGTGTTGTTAGTGGGCATCTATGAAGGCCAGCATGGCAAGTGAGGGTGTGGGCGGCCAGCACCATGCCTGGCCGCTTTTGTATCCCTAGTGGCGATGTTTATACAACTGTGCCAAGTACTCAATGGAGGCTGAGTAGACCTAGGGGAGGCCGGGACCAGTTCAAATATCTACCACTGTTTTTAGCCGTGAGCAGGATGTGAACTCGGATTGCTAGGTTCATGGTGCAGAGCGCTAACCACGACACTCCGCCATGCACACATTTATATCAAGGAAACACTTTGAATATACATCTCAGTGGTTTATTTGTGGATATACTGCCCCTGCCATAGGAGTATGTACACTACTCACTAGGCTCAGGAACACAGATGAAGATAGGAACCACCCAATGGAGATTTGAACAGGGGATATTTAATCTTCTTGACTGCAATGGCATTGATTAAATAATGACAGAAGCGTGCAACCAAATCTGTAATTGTCATTAATAACAATTAGATGCTTGGTTTGCCAAGTGAGTAACACATTCGCTGCTCAGCCAGTTTCCATAGAGTCGATGATTTGATTCCTGCGGCCGCCCGGAATTGTAAGCGGTGTGCGTTTTCACGCCTGAAACTCTGGAGGTCGGTATGCAGAGTTGGCCCTACCTGGATCCTGCGTTTGAATCGCAGGGAAGTTCACAGAAATGGCAGGGTCTCAGATGCAGCGCGTCGATGGAATTACCGATGACTGCACAGACACAAAACAAAAAACACGTCCGTTAAACATTTGTTTGGCCACTTTTTACGTTGGTAGAAATCAAGTTCTGACAATTAAACTTTTGATTTGACTGGTCATGCGAGGAACATTAGGTCTGTATCTCCGGACATTTGTCACAGTGCTACTCCTATTGTGGATAAGACATTCGTCATGATGCGTTGATGCCAATAGGCCAAATTGCGAATGTAAACATCACCCACAGATAACATGCCCGAGAGAGTCCCATGATGGCTCTATCAGCGTGCTGCGCTGGCACTTGAAATCTAGTGTAGATGGATACGTCTTGTTGTTACCGGGTTCTTAGGTCACAAAATACTATTTCGTTTTTTAAATGTAAATCAGGGGAAGCCTCATTATCCGGGCTAAAACATGCAAATATATCGATGTCAAATAATTGAAATGTGACAAACCACACTTTACACAGTATAGCGGAGGGTCATCCAGTCTTGAAAAGAGATTTAAATATTGAAATGACTCCAGAATTAGTTTCGAGGGAGGGCTTCATCTTCTCAGCCCACTCCTTGACATCTTGTGGCCATTTAAGAAGGATGTTATTTTTCACAGCGTGATAATTGAGTGCCCCTATAGATGAAAAACAAAACAAACCTCACTACTACGTAATGTCAGCCGATCAGGTGACAATGTCGTTCGAGCATGTGATTCACAATCGGAAGGCTGCAGTTTGAAATCCCAACAGTATTATCTGACAAATCCAGTACAACTTTGTCGGAAGCCCGGAAGCTCACCTGGTTAAATATACAACATTTATTGATTTACGACCGGCAGTGGTCAGACGACTAAGCGTCCCCAAGTCACCAGGTTTCCTGCAGGACAAAGCGGCCGCCGCAGATCAGGTCAGTTCAGTCCATTACGCTCGCCTGAAAGCAGTTGCCTGAGCCGCAGGCGCGCGCGTGCACGTGGTGTACGGCCGCGTCGGGCCACGCAAACGTCACGTGCGTGGGACGTGGGGTCCGCCGACTGCGGTTGTTCGATGAAATTGTTTGAAGGGTAAATGAATTATCGTCGCGCCGCCTTTATAAAGAACGCATTAGCCATGCATGGCCGTGCTCATTCAATTACTTTGCAAACTCCGACTTTATTTACTGTGACAGCCGCTCTATTGAATAAACCCGTGAACAGCATTGATGCGCAGATAATTCCAGCCCCGATTCTTGGGCGATCGATAAATTTAATTTTGAGAGTATTAATAATGGTTTGTATATGTGTACACAAATTTTGTGAGGCTTGCACTCTCTGAACATGGAATTTGACATAGTTGCATTTTTAAGGATCGGTTGATGATTTAGAAGCAATTAAAAGTAAAAATGTGCCAGGTTGTGACAAAGGGGTCTCTGTGGGTGACTCACCCAGGAGTGGGGAATCCACATTTATAAGGCACAGCCTTTCTTTTCATAGGACAAGCAATGCATAAACCAGTTTAAAATAGACGAGAGGTCAACGTTGGTGTTAAGAGATGGATGTTTGAAGCATGAATAATGTATGTCAGAGAAGCTGTGCTCCAGGCCTTTATCTATAGGTTATGTGGAAGATGCTATAAATTCCTTGACAGGATATACTTAGCGACTATAGTGGTTTTGTTAATGACAATGCAACAATGTAGACCTAACAGTGGAGCTAATTGTGAAGGGGAGGTTATGGATGCTGCTAGACATGTCCGGGATGGCGGAGGGGCAGGTGACCAGTGACCGAGGGGAGTAGAACGTAAGCCAGGCGGTGAACGGCACTGTTAGGGCAGAAGCTGCACGTCCGGTGTTCACTGTGCAAGATTCCCGCGACCTGGGCAGGAGGAAGGGGGAGGAGCGATGCTGAGTTTTGGAGGCGTCAAATGCCAGTGGCCGTGTTGACCCCTTGAACTTGACCTTGTGTTTCAAAGTAACCATTTGGGCATTGCCCGTGCGAATATTTCCTCCGTTAAACTATCAACTAAAACTAGTTTGTATTTTACCAGGTAAGGCCCACTGAGCTACGTCGCTCTCTTTCTGAATCGGCCTGGCCGCAAATGATAGCTCAGCGAGAAGTGTTTCGTCAGGTGGGAATTCATAGCAGTAGCCAAATACTGGAAAACGTGCGTTGTTTCTAAACGCAGGCAGCGGGGGTGCGGGTGGCCAGCGAGACTGGATGATGCAGTAATAGCGCGGCCCTTGACACGGTGTTGACATCTCATTGGTGACTCGAATACCTTTGGGCTTCCTTGTGCCTTGTGGCCGACCACTGCTTTTAAAACAGACCGCATCCTGTTCGACCACCCTCGTTTGATCCGTTGATGCATTTTAACAGCGGCAGGAAATAATGATGCTCTTTCCACTTGAGAGAGGTCACTCAGGAGCCAGACAAAATATACGTAGGTCAGAATTTTCGTTTGCATCTCATGCGTCACAAGTTGCCTCCAACAGAACAATGAAACGGGAATCCCTTTCTGCTCCGTAAGTCAATACCACCGTTGTGCATTTTCTTAGAACAGCCTTGCAATAGCCACCAACTCAAAAGAGCCAAGATTGGAGCATTTTTTTTTATGTTGGCAGCTGAATAATTATACGAGAAATTAATTAGTAGGAGAGAGCGGTTTGAACCAATGTCAAAAGTCAAGTCAAGTATTTTTCCTGCAACAATGAGCATTTGGCAGTGTTCTCCCCTCTCTGTCTTGAGCTCGTGCTAGATATTCCACGTGGCAGTATGATTCATTTCTCGCATCAAGTTACAAGGGTCACCTGTAAGGCGACAGTGTTATTCACGATGGCGCGGATTTGCTTGTGCACCACTGCCAATGCAGAATCACCACGTAAATGGATTTGTGAACACCTGGTCCACGTATAAACATCAACACTAGGATGACAAAAGCGGCTGTCTCATTTTGTGGCAGGCCAACATGAATTGGCGCTCGCTAAGAGCAATTGCCCCTACAGCCTTTCAGGCTAAATGGGAGAATTGTTGTCTTTGACTTTGTGTGTGAGAGTAGGTGGTGCATTGGCTATCGCATTGTACTGGGATCCCGACAATTGTGCACAGCACCAGTGGCAAACAGAGTATTTGAGCCTGTACCCGTATCTCCCCGAGGTCAACTGAGCTTAAAGAAATCAGCAGCGGGGAGATGAATGTGGCCTTATGTGCATGGTGCTCGCCACTTTTCACGTATACACTGTGCCAGTTTTAATAGGTGCTTGCGAACAGCATTCATTGCAGCAAATCTGACCCAGTGCAATATTCATCTCTCGCTGAACTAAGCCTTAAGTAAGTACATGGTGCAGTGTGTGAATAACATATTTGAGGAGATAAACGTGGCTAGACATGGTTCTTGCTACACCAACCTCCCGTCGAATGTTCTGTGTTTTAATAGGCGCTCGCAAACAGCACTGGGCCCTGCAATCTATGAAGCCGAACAGAGGAGTGTTGTCCTCGTGCATGCGTGTCTGTGTGTGTGTGGGGGGAGCGGGACACTTCACGTGGCCTTAACGTGCACATAGCCTGGCACAAGCGCCGTGTGCCGTGCCGGCCGTCGTAGGTGCTCTCTAACAGCACTTGCTCCAACAGTTTCTTAAGGCTATACGGGAGATCTCTATCTGTGTCTTTTTGTGCGTGTGGTTTGCAGGGTGTTCCTCCGAGCCATTAACCAGTTTGCAGACACGCTGAACAGAATGTTTTTGGACAGTGTCAGCTTCGAGTTGCAGGTAAGAGATGGGGCTTTTGTGCAAAAATGGAATGAGTAACATATGGTCTATTCTACACTCGATCTCTAATATAATTGTTTTCTTAATTGTTCAGCAGGATGCACTGCCAAAATAATTACACCTGCAATATATATGTGTATAGACCACACAATCGGTATGCCACATTTGTTAATTAAATTATAATTACTCAGGGAATCAATTAATTTTATACATCCAAAGTCCTATTAAAATGTGCTTCTGCATTTGGCAATCATGAATCCTATTCGAGGTTGGGGGGGGAAATAAATATACCCATAAGCATAGATTGTTTTGTGCTTTCCAACGTGTGTTCGTTCCCGTAAGCATTTCATATTTTACTGCAGAGCACTCGCAGGTTAGAGACATCGCGTTCACCAATCAGAAAGTGAGTTGGGCTTGGGCAGGAGACGGCGCTGGAAGGGGTGACTGTGGACGGACGGAGTGAATGCGTCGGAAAGTCTTCACAACGCCGTCGTTAGCGCTGTAAACAACCCCGGTTTGGCAGCTAATACACCTTGCAATTAGATTGACAATTAACAAAATAACAATTATCTTCTGATGGCAACAGTTATAAATCACGAGCGCGTTGCCCTTAATCATTACATGATCAAGCATACATCATCATTGTCATCTCGTTAAAGGCTTTAACCAGGGCCAAAAGATCCCACTTCATTAAAGGCCACTGCTGCTATTGCAGTATTTTTTTCTTTCCATTTTCTTATAAATGAGGCACCGGAGATTATAACGAAACAATGTGGCCATCGGTGTGCACTGGCGTGCTTTGTGAAACGAGTTGAGTTACGTGAGCTTGGATAGACGAGAGGGAGCAAGGGAATTCCAGAGTGGAGATGAGCGAGCAGGGAGGACAGTGCAAGTGTGCGTCGCGCAGTGAGGCCGCTACCTGCAGCGTGGCATTGAGGAGTCTACGCGATGTGTACAACTGCATTCCATCAATTGGATCTGAACCTGGACTTGTCCCCTCTCCCGTTTGGCTCAGCCTTAAAAAAAGTACTCGGTGCTGTGCGTGAAATTCATCTCTGGGAAGGTGGCTGGTTGTGGTTGTTGCTACACCACCGTCTCATCTCATCTTGCGCCTTTAAGAGATGGTCTCAAGCAACGCTGGCACCAATGTCTGTAAAGGCTCCACAGATCGACGATGAGTGAGTGGCTGCAATAATAACCGTGATGGTTGTGGGAGCAAGGACACAAGATATTGGCTGTCGAGATTATAATGAATAAAGAATCGCCATCAATAAAACATTGTAATCACGGGTATGATATGAATAATTTGGTCGTTTGGGATGGCGCTTCTGTTACAGAGGCACATTACGCTGGCTTCTGTGTGTGTGTCTATTTAGCAGCAACGGGAGCCCTCTCCCATGTACGGCATTCGTGAAATCGTGCCAGAAATAAAGGCTGCTACGGACAACATATCTCTTAATATACATATATAAAACATCGACTTAAGAATAACAACCAGATTTATATGCAATTTAGAAGGATTAATTAATCCCCCCACACCTCGCATGTGAAGGGCTCACGAGTGACGTCATCACACCTACCCCTCTATTTAAAGGAACGTAATAGGAGGATTTATCTACAAATCTGACTGTCGCCTGATGATGCTGGTTGTAATTACTGGCGAAACGTCGTATGCAGATTGTAAATGTGGTGTTGCTCTCCAACACACCGGTGTGCTGTACTAGAAACGAATTGGCACGTTCTGTTTACGTGACAAACCTTACTAATTGGCTGTGACGAGTGGTGGCGGGTTTAACGACACATTGATATTTACGCGATCTAACCCAAAAAAAACTATATTGTGAATAACCAGAACCTTAATCTTTTTTTCTCAAACCATCGTCACAATTCAAAGACCCTCGCTGCTCAAATGAGCCAATTGGGGGGGGGGGGGGTTGGGCGTGGGGGAGCACTCACTTTTTTACTGTCTGCCTTCAACCAGCAGCGGAAATTCCACATTCATATGATGGGGGATAGTGTGTGCTATTGGACGAGCATAGTTGACTTCCCACAAATTGTCTCATTGTATTGCCACGAGAGGGACAATGGGCTCAGCCGCCACCCTTCAACGGGGCCTTGTGACCGAGAGGGCTCTGGCTGGCCACTGCGTGTGCTCATAAACCACGTCTTCTTCCTGTGCACAACTTCTGCGCAGTAGCATGCTCTGTTTTGTTGCCAAATTATTAGATAATTGAGATAAATTGCCTTCAGATAGAATTGCAATTATGTCCAAAATTAGAGTTGTGTTTGCAATCATATTATAATGGCCTAACTTTTGTTAATTAATATCAATTACAATAATAGCACAGCAAAGATGATGATGATGTTTCTGATTATGGTGGATTTATATGATTATTTTTGTTAAGTTGTTGCCGAGGCAAAAGATGCAGTGCCGAACTAATATCTTATAGCAGAATCCCATATGCTCATTTATCTCCGTGTCGTTAACCATTTTAAATCTTTAGATTTTGGTATCATGAGTAGTGAGGATCGCTAAGTGGGTGGATCGTGTCAAGTGCAGTAAATAACTATTTACTTGCGTTTGGTTGCACAGGCGATCTTGCCGAATGTGGGACAAACAGACACTGGTACACACACACACATACGCACAGAGCCATAGCAACACACAAAGACAAAGATCTCCCCTATAGCCTTAACAGACTGCTGAGGCAGGTGCTGTTAGTGAGCACCTATGAAGGCCGGCACGGCACACGAGGGGGTGGGTGGCCAGCACCACACCCCGTCGCCTTTGTTACACGCACCACACACATCGCAGTAGTTGTTTATGCGCGACCTTTGCCATTCATAACTTGATCACATGTCATCGTTATTGAATTATGTTCACACGTTTCTTTTTTTTGCTGTAACCGGGTGTCCGTCGTGTAACGAGGTCTTTGTCGAAAATGAACATGTATTGCCCCAGTGGGTTTTACCTGTGCCAAAAGAAAACCTAACCCTAAAGCACTGACTGTGCCTCCACTCCCCTCCTCTCCCGTCAGCTGTGGAACAACTACTTCCACTTGTCGGTCGCCTTCCTCACGCAGGAGTCGCTGCAGCTGGAGAACTTCTCGCACGCCAAGCGCGCCAAGATTGTCAGCAAGTGAGTGCTCCTCGTAGCAACCAATCAGCTGGTACTGCCACTTTGCCCTTTCAATTGATTTTGGGGAGTATTAAAAAAAAATGTTACGAAAGTAATCGTAAATAAATAAATACTGGGCGCGTGCTAAGTAATTATTTACATATTTTTAATGGGGGCAATGCCAGATTAGCGTTACCTGGGTTTTGTAGCCTGATAATAGTGACTGCATTACGTGTAATGCGTTACTCCCCAGCACTGGTATTAGGGCTTTGTTTAAATGTGTGTGCACTTAATTATAAATGTACCAGTTTAAATAAAACATCACTGCAGCCGTATATCCAAAAGGAAAGTGTGCGGTGGTGATCAACGGTCATTTACACCGCTGCGATAGCGACTTGGAGTTAAGGGGCCCTCCAAGCCTGGCCACTTGGATGCCTGTGGCTCAAATCCCGTGACTCTAATGGCAGAGGCCAAATGTTTACTGTTGCCCCACTTAGTGCGTGTTGCGTCTCTGTGGTGGTGTTCTTGCTGTTGTGTGTCTGTGGTGGTGTTCTCGCTTAGTGCGTGTTGTGTGTCTGTGGTGGTGTTCTTGCTAGTGAGTGTTGTGTCTCTGTGGTGTTCTTGCTAGTGAGTGTTGTGTCTCTGTGGTGTTTTTGCTAGTTCGTGTTATGTCTGACATTCTAGTTCCTTCATTGATGCTATTGCGTGGTTTGTTATGCTCGGAATTTTGAGACGCAATTTGCAACATGACGCTGTTTAACAATGATAATAATATAACATTATTATTTTAATAAGCCGATTCCCTGTGCAGTTTTGTAGAACAATCAACAGCAACCCTCATAATTCTCCAGCGTGTGTGCCTCCTCACTTTATGGGCATGTTCTATAACTCAAACATTACCATATATGTAATTTTAATTTATTATCCACGTGTAAATTTGAAAAGTGAAATTACTTTTTCAAATTGTTTCCACGTTTTGAATATATATTCGGAAATTATGTACGCATAGTTCATAGTAATGTTCGCAGTCAAAAATTATGCGCCAATACTTCGCCGTGCACTTGAATGTAACCTTACAATAGGTGTTTCGAATGTTTGAAACTGCGAGTTTTACCCCAGAGGGTTCAGAATGACCACGTGACATCACCGAAACCAGCACCGCTGAGATCGTTGATTTGAATCTGAGGCAGCCACTCCCTGGCCTATGCCGCTTCTCGAGTTCAGACATGTGATGGTCTCGCCTCGTTCACCAACAACTGCACAAAACGAAACCATACTTTTATCTTTTAATTGATGCTTCCTTGTAGAAATATTCATCTATCAAGGAAAGGCCGTGATAAGTCAGGAGGGATTTTGGACGTCTCGTTATATTCATTATTTTTTTAAAATTTAAAACATTTTCAAAAAGTGGCTAGGTGGCTGAGCGTGCTCATATAATGGCTGTGTTAGAGGACCGAGCTAACATTGCTTAAAACTCGAGTTTGAATTCTCGTTTGCCACCCGTGATTCGAAAGTGTAGCGGGTTGTTCTCATCTGCTTCCTTACCAATGGGAGGCTGCACAGTAAAGCATAATATTGGCTTTCTATTTCAGTTATCCAAACCAAATCCTCAGGGCAACAAAATCAAATAACATTCGATGACCGGACAACTCTAAAAGAGTACGGAGGAACACCATGTAGTGCTGAGTAAGTGTGGCCTATTATTGAATGCCTCAGTAAATATTTTTTTTCTCGGTGTCAGCTTCCAGGGTCGATAGCCTGTGTGCGATGCGCCCACAGTTTAGACGCGTTCCTTCACCGCGTTACGTGACCCTCAAAAGAGCTTTTGCTGGTCAAAACAAGGTCATTTGCTAAACTGTGCAAGTCCGAGAATACGTTTTCCCCTTTATTCTGGCAACAAAACAGGTGTTAAGATGTTAAAACACCAAACTGAAACCAATCGGTTTCAAAGACAATGCATATATTATCAGAGTGTTTTTTGTTTGCATTCTGACCACAAGTGTTGTGGTTAATGCAGACGTGATTCCTTGTAAAAGGTTTCAATTTGGTGTTTTAACATCTTAACACAACTGTTTTGTTGCCAGAAAAAAGGGGAAAACCTCTTCTCATGTTTTGGTATTGGCAAAGGAGGTCCCATGATGTGCAAGTCCAGTCAGAGTGTCTCTCTGCTCGAGTGAGTATGGGGCGGTGGCCTTCTCTCCCGGTAGCCCTGAGCAAGCGCTGGGAATTCCACTTTCCTTAGGTCGGGGGCCCGGTCACTGCATCGGACCAACCACCATTGATTGCCAACAACGCGGCACTTTGTCAACCAAGGAGGGATGATGGGCTGAGTCAACCCCTGACCAGAGTCTGAATCGCCTACCGTGTCTACGAGTTAGTCGGGCACATTAACCTTACACGTTTTTCAAATGTCATCGTTTTAAATTTGCCTTCATTTTGCCTCATTATGTTCATGTAAATCGGATTTAGCCACAGGAACTCCGGAGTCTCGCCCCTTTAAGATGAGGTTGGTGTCCATGCTTAGACGCATACATACGTACAAAGATCCCCCATACAGCCTTCATCTGACTTTAGGGGCAAGTGCTTTTAGTGAGCACCTTTGAAGGCCGGTACGACACACGAAGGGGGTGGGTGGCCAGCAAGACAAACAGAGACACGCACAAGTGCGCGCGCTCGCACACATATGACTCTTTTATGCACACGTTTTGCCACGAGGCATGATTAACATGAACTCCGTTTTTGAAAGGGAAAGCAATTTCGCGAGAAAATTAATTGTGAAACCGTCAAAGCCACTGCGAGCGGGCATTAGCAACGGTTAACCAGCGACGGATGCTGCGGTGTAGTGTTCATCACCAGCGTGTGCCGAATGCTAAGCACGCAAAGCGGCGCCTTTGCTCAAGCCGAGCAGTCGTCTCTGTGCCTCCCCCAGCAGCCCTCCTGGCTTTGCACTTTCACGAGGAGAATTATCGAGGGACGTACGTAAGAAAAGGTTCACGAAGGATGAAGCGATAACACAAATGTCTTTTTTCTGTTGCGTTCAGCCAGTGGAGGTTGGGCCGAGACCAATTGGTTCGATGCTCTTGAGCTCCTGCTTGATTCTCAGGTGTCCAGCCAGATTCAAGCCCAGAATCTCAGCGGTTGCCCACTCAGTGGTCGTCTGATATGGAATTAGTTTTCTGAATCTCAATTGAACTCAATTGCTGTCGGGCGGTAGCTGCTGATGTGAAGATGGGTACCGCTGTTTAATTCCTTTAGGTCCCAGGCTGTTTTGCTCTGAGTTTTAACTGAAGTAAATATGAAAGTTTTTTTTTCAGTGCAGCAATTTAATGGTTTCATCCCAGTAGCTAAAAACTGTACAAAGTTTAATGTTTTTGTGACTTCATTTTACGCTTTCCATCTCTGGGGACTAAAAAATGTAATGTTTGATTGCATTACAAATAAACACTTTTAACAAAGAGTAAAGAGGGTTTGGAAGAGAGAGACCTGCTAGAGAGTTTTCTAAAGTATTCTTGTTCATCTTGAGTCACTGCCCAACACTGTGATATTCCACTTTTTTCCAAAACTAAATGTTCTCAGCTCATAATGATGATTTCCATGGCACAGCGACAATGTAATTATACATCAGCTGCTAGACAAGATTGCAAAGTGCCTTCAACGGTCTTGAGAAATTGGTATTCGACAATGGCCTGTTGTAAATATTAATGCGGCAATGTAGTGTAACGCACCCTTATCGCTGTTTTCCTGTAGCTTGTTGATCAGTGCAAATTGGATTCGTATCCACAAAGCAGGACATTACATAAAGACCTTGTTACATGCAGCCATGGCCTAAATACTTTCATTACTCACACATCCTTCAGCCACAACTTTTTCACCAGCCGCTGCTCAAAATTTCATCATGGAATTGGAGCAAAACGAGAATAACACAGGAAGATAATTGCACGCGCGATGAACTGAGTAATTTGGCCATTCGCAAGCGCGCTCGCTCGTGTCTCTGCCGTTCCTCCCAGCAGCGCTGTTGGGACGCACAACCGAGCACTCCCGGCCCGGGTCCAGCTGTTAACTAATAACAAAACTGAGCTCCTGTAATGCATCACAAACAAGCTGTTGGTTTAATACCAGCGAAAACCCCTCCTGGCCTCCACAGCAAGTGCCCAAGCTTAATGGTGCTGTTTACCATTTTCCGTAGGCGTGCTTTTATGTTAGGCCTTCACTCATTGTGTTGCACCCCCCCCCCCACATCCAACCCCCCCTACAGCAAATGAATGCCAGGCAAGAGACGCCGAGTCTTGCAGCTCACGTTAAACCTCCTCGTGGTTTTGTCCGCCGCCAACGTATTTAAACCAGAAGTGTCGTCTCCTGCTACAGTCTCCTGCTACCGTTCCTGCCGCGGGGCGTTGGGCGAATGTAAACGCGTGGCTCACAATGACGCAGTTGGGGGGGGGGGAATAATCCAGCACCTTGCATTTCTCTCACACCCGTTGTTTTGTCATCGTTATTTTCCATCACCAGCTACATTCCGATCGTGCCGCCGTCGCGGGGGAGACGTGCAGGGAATTCGTTTCTCCTGGTTCACCCAGGAAAGCTTCACCGAGTCTCATGACTTTTATTTAGGAGGATCCTGCCATGTTTTTGAAGTGAGGGGGGGGGGGGGGGGCGACGATTGCCACGCAAGTTTCAATTGAGTTTTTTTGCAGGTCACTTTTCAAATGTGGCAAATATGAACCATAATGCCGGCACTTAGTGGCCTTTGCTTGCAAATGATGCCATGGGATCTTCAATATCCACTTTGAAGGTTAATGCACCCGCAGTATTAATCAGGGCGGCTGCTGGATTTGAACCGTGACCCTCTCTGCAACAAATGGCGAACGCGATGCGGCTAATGTCCATGTCGCCAAAATAAAATCCTTTCCAATATTCTGCATAGTTAGCAGACGCGCACATTCTCCGGGTGATTGCACATGATCTCGGAAGCTCAGCTGGTTTGAACCTGTGCACTGTGTTTCCACCGCGCACAACCTGGTTTGTTATAGGCTGGTGCCGCGACTAACGTGGCAAGCCACAGAGGGCATCGCAGCAAACTCTTTGGTGGTGGTGTTGTCTCGTGCTCCGTGCCGTGACCGATCCACTCCGTGCCGTGACCGGTCCGCGTCGTGAAACGCGTTCGAGTGATCCACACAACGCCAGAGTGACAAGACGGCAGGGCGTGTACATAAGGGCCCTCAACTTAAAACTTATTCGTCTTAAGTTGAGTAGCTTAACCGGCTCCTGTTTAGCAGCCACTGCTGCCCCACGCAGCATTAACTGCCCATGTTTCTGGTGATCCATTCATTCCTCTGAAATAATAGGGAGACACGTGGTACGATTACATTAATAGGGAGACACGTGGTACGATTACATGAATAGGAAGACACGTGGTACAGTTACAATGATAGGGAGACACGTGGTACAGTTACAATGATAGGAAGACACGTGGTACAGTTACAATGATAGGGACACACGTGGTATGATTACAATAATAGGGAGATACGTGGTACAGTTACAATGATAGGGAGACACGTGGTACAATTACAATGATAGGGAGACACGTGGTACAGTTATAATGATAGGGAGACACGTGGTACAGTTACAATGATAGGGAGACACGTGGTACAGTTATAATGATAGGGAGACACGTGGTACAGTTACAATGATAGGGAGACACGTGGTAAAATTACAGATGGTGATTGAGGGCTGTTAAGCACAACGTGCCGTAGAAGCGAAACCTTCTGCTTGCTACTTACAGATTCTGTTTTGTTATTCTCTTAAAGTTTGAGTCTTCTTCTTTCTGATGTAAATGCAAAGCAACAGCTGCAATTTCACATTCAGGTGGTCAAGCCAGACGACCGCGTGAGGAGCAGCGGAGTGTGTTGCCGTGATGTCTCTTTTAACGTTTTACTCAAACCCGTATTACAAGATCAGTGATAACAAATTGTGAATTGTTTTCTGTTTGCCGTGGCTCATTCCCAAATTTGTTCTCGAATAGACGCTGTGTGTGTGTGAGAGAGAGAGACAGACACAGATCTGTGAATCACCATCCCAGGTCAAGGCAATAGGTGTTATACAAATGGTCACAGCACTTTGTTTTGAAACTGTGTGTCCAGGATGCATGCTAAGCTGTTAGAATATCATTTGCCGATTGCTTACTTGTGTGCCTGTGTGTTTTTGCATGCGCTTTTGTGTGCGTGTGTGTGTGTGTTTGGCTGTGCGTGTGTGTGTGTGTTTGGCTGTGCGTGCGTGCGCGTTCGATCTGTGCGTGTGTCTGGCCGCGTGATTCCGTACGTGCGCGAGCGCTGCGTGTGTTTGTGCCCGCGTGCGTGCGTCTGTGTGCGCGCGTGCATCTCGACGTGCGTCCGCCACCCTCAGACACGGAGACATGCGGCGAGCCATCGGATTCGAGATCCGGGACATGTGGTACAACCTCGGTGAGGGAGCGCGCATCACCGCAACATCCAACCCAGCGGGCAAATGGCTGTAATTTAGCATCTCTGCCCTGCCTAGGAAACCCCGGGCTGATTGAATGCAGTAATTTCCTCATTTTAATGAATGCTGTGACCCACACCTCACCCTGCGAGTACCCTGCTGAATGATTTGTGGCTTCTGGGAGTTTTGAGTGGCCCGTGCCAGGCACGAAACCTGGCCTGTGACGAACGCAAAGCAGACACATCCACCCTCGCACCAAAGGCGTTCATTTATTTTGTGAAACAGCCACAGACTCCTGTTGTGTGTGGTCAGCAAGAACGAAAGCGGAATGCTGGGAAATTCTGTCAAAATAATTCTCAGTCGTTGCATCCTGGATGGCAATTTATTTACTTATTATTATTTTGAATTGTCCCAAGTGCTAAGGATAACCCGAGGGAAGGTTGGAAAGTTTTTCTAAGATTAATAAAAACGTACATATTCCACGATCATCTTTAAAACTCTTTAAAATTAGAGCTGTCTTTAATCATTGCATACAAATGCAATCATCTTGATCCACATTTAGCCAAGTTGAAAATCTCACTTGGCAGTCTTAAACCACTGGTTGTCAAATTCTACATTCCTATTGCAGGGACCAGCCTTTTAATTTGATAAACAACAGCCCACTTTCCATATCCACTGGACTGCTTTTCATTGAACTCGGCCTCGCGGTTGAATTGGCAAACTCCTGACTGTGAGTTGCCCTCTCGGTCACGAGAACCACCTGTCCAGATAACCGCAGTGCGCAGGAGCGGTTGAAAAAGCCACGCCGTTCGGAACAAAGCTCCGTGACCATAAACCTTCACTGGGCCCACTGAAGTTCATCTCTCTGCCTTTTCTGAGTGGTTTATACGTAAGTCCATAAATTCTTGCCTTGACAATTCACACGTATTTTTGCCCATCGCGTAATTGTAACTCGGTGTGGTGGCGCGGCGGCCAGCCATTATGCGAAGTGATTACGAGACTCCGGCATCAAAGACCAAACCAAAGTCATCAGTCGCAAATTCCCCTTGCAGAAAGTAAACACAACGGCATGAGATGAAGGGGTTATTACAGTCACTGCCGCCGCTGCTGCCACCACACCTCGTCGTCAGTGACATCCTTTTTGCCAGTTCCTAAAACTGTTACGGTCGACGCCTCACCTCCCAAGCTCTGTTCTCACACGACGCCTCACCTCCACGCTCTGTTCTCACAGTATCCCAACCTCTGGCTCAAGGTTTTCCCTTGAGTTGCTTCCTTCCCCGTGCCACTCCCATGCCGGTCGCAATTTACCTGCCCTTCACCCTGCTGCACATATCCCAAATGCATCACAACCTCCTGTTGATTTTATTACTGTTTACGGTGTGTTCCTGTTCTATTCTAACATACAAGGTGCTTCTAACATCCGATTATGAGCTACCCAGCTTTCTCCACATGCCCCTTTAATCAAAGTTCAGTCGGTTATTTTTCGGTTCTTTTTTTCAACGCTACCTTTTTGACCCTGACAGCAACACAGGCATCACTTTTGCATCAAACATCTTTCTCGTTAACTCAAGTTAATCTCTCTAGTCTTTCAAATTGGCTTATATAGCCCATTAAAACTTGACTTGACAATGAGTTGACATTCTTCTCACAATGCCCCACGAGCTTAAAGCAACGTCTCCGAGATCGCCTCGGCTGCAAGTACCTGGGGCAGTACCAGCGTAACACAGACACACGCACTCAAAACATCGCTCAGACCCACACATGGGCAATGCTAAAGCCTCGACAGCGGCTTAAAGTGGTTTGCGTGGAGCCTTGAAGCAAGTTGTTGGCTCTTGCGATTTTTACATTTATTCATTTTCTCTTCCTTGTTTCAGTCACGGCCCCTTCTCCCTCTGATGTGTCTTCCACGTCTGTGTGTTTGGCTCTCTTGGAATAGGCATCCTTTCCAAAAAACATGCATTTATATTTAATTGCGCTGAATATTACATGCTCGCTTTATTTATTATTGGCCGAGCACTACCTTGTCTGTATTTTTCTCTGCGTCCTTCTTATTCCTTACGGCCTGTCACCATCAAACATTTCCCGAAGGTGGCACACAATCAGAAGACCGCGCGATCTCACGGAAAAAAAAAAAAAAATTGTATTCCGAGAGCAAATGGTTTTCAAAATTGAACGAGAAAAAAACTAATTTTGTCAACGTTACCGCTTGTGTCTGCTCCGATTGTGTGCCCCGGTTCACAGACGGCTGTGGTCTGCTGCACGGCTAAGCAGTTATGGAAAACGCATTCACAGTGGTCTTGCCCTCTCCGTGACTTTTGTTTCCGCGTCGAGTTTTAATACGTGGGAGCGCGCCAAACACGGTAAAAAGTTTTAGCGGATAGCAACGTGCCCCCGCAACTGTTTAATTCTCTGAGCTTTGATCATTGCATCGCTGCGTTTATTTTGCCAGTCGTTCATTCCCGGAATAATGGAAGAGGTCACTCCTTTCCCTCTGCTGGTCTTCGAGTCTAGAATAGCCATTATTGTACAACTGCCTCGAATCTCTGGCCCTTCTCTGTTAAAGCTCTTGTTCTTAACTCATGCGGTTGTCTGTCTCTCTCTCTTTTTACACTGCTTCTTTCCTACATCTTAATATTTGCATTGCAATATGCAAACTACTTTGTGACAGTGAACTGCACTTCCCATAAATACAGAACGTGTAACTGTAGTCCGCTGTTGGTCCCAATAGTTGCAATTGCTTATCATGGCATGTACGTATCCGCTAACCTCGTATGCCATTTAACACAATTATGAAAATGGTACAGAGCGTGCTTAATGTTTCTAAACGTAATTCAGATGCTCACAAAGTCAGTGTCACCAATTTTAAACGAGCTTGGAGCTATGCTGATCTTGTCTATCCGTTGCACTTCCACTCTGTAAGTTCAGAAATGAAACTCGTAAGCTTTAATCCTAGATTGGAAGCTTTCGTAACTGCAAGGATTCATACGCTTAGTTTTTTCGGTAAAGTCACGTAGGTAAAAAATTTTAATTAAATTAATAAAAATAAAAAAATAAAAATCACGACGTTTCGGAGGCAACACAAGTCTCCGTCATCAGGTGGGACCGTCACAGCCAGACACAGCAAATCTGGCTGTGACGGTCCCACCTGATTACGGAGACTTCTTCTTGGTTCTTTCGGTAAAGTCACGTAGAAGGAAAATAATAAAAATAAAACATTATAAAATTATTCTCACGACGTTTCGGCCGCAACGCAAGCAGCCGTCTTCAGGTGGAGAACAGGTCTGTCGAGAAGGCAGAGTCTGAATGACTTGTGTTGCCTCCGAAACGTCGTGATTTTTATTATTTTATTTTTTATTAATTTTAATTTCATTTATTACCTACGTGACTTTACCGAAAAAACTAAGAGTATAAACTCGCAAGCGTCCGATTGTGTGTTGTGTGCTCTATCTGCAGCACCATCCATCCATCAACGTCCTTTGGCTTTGCTGCCTGGGTGGGCATTAATCATTCACAAGCGTAGGCCAATGTCACCGTGCTTTAAATCTTTTTTGTTTCACTGCCACCGCATAATTGTGATCCTCCAGCATGCTTCCTTTCTGTTTAAAAATGAGATAGATAATGAATCTCAGTGGCGTGCCACCCGGTTCAATCAAAGTTGCTTAATGCTCACAGCGGTGAGCCCAATGCAGCTTTTGTAGCTCTCCTTTTCACTTTTTTAGACGACGCTTGAAAAACGCTATCCAGGCTAGGATTGTGTTGCTGCCCTTCACAAATCCGAAGCGGCATTAATCATTGAGCGAATGGTGCCCCTTCTGGAAATTACCTTGATAAGATGGGAATGGTCTTTTGTGTTCAGACTGCACCCCGTTCAGGTGAAGGGTTATCCCTGCCAATGCATGATGTATGTTCCTCTGCGAGATAATGTGCCTCCCGGCCCATGGATCCTAACACCGAGATGACTTTTTGCTCATCAATATTGCGAGACCACATTTAATTATGCCAAGCCGCACGTGGACAACATAAGAACGTTTCCAACGTTTTTATTTCCACACACACACACACATATACACATACACACAGTAAAAACCCTTCTTATCTTACTCCCTCTGAGTTGTGTGTTCCTCTTGCCCATGCACTTTACTATTATACGTGTGCTAAATTCCTCCCGTTATCGAGCCTTTGCATGGAAAATATGTGACCCAGAAAGAGCAGACAACTCATTGTATCACGTGAGCTTTTGCATGATTCAGAGTTTGGTTTGGACAGAAATTCTACATTCACGGGGGGAGGGGGGGGGGCGGGACACTCAAAATGTAGCACCACAGGAACCAACTTGCTAGACTGCCATCTCCTGGACACACAACGACCTCTGTGATCCCCAACCCTGAACCTCTAAAGCGCCGGGGTCACAGGCGCGTGCCGTCACGCTCAAACCCTACAATAGAGATCTACAACCGACTATCCACCATGGTGTCAACCACAGGCACTGTTCAACTCTGGTAGGTGAGCGTTTTGCACACGGTACGATCAAAATGTGACCCATGAATTACAAGTCACTGGATTACAGGCATTTAACTCAGAACTGTTGCCAGATAGACCTTTGAGACGTTTAACCAAATCCCCCCCCCCCTCCAATCTGCTCACTGGACCGAGTCGGAGTTGTCACCTTCATTGCCAGGGTGAGACGTCTTAACGGCAGCCTTTTTCTTCACAGGGGGCCAATATGGGTAATGGGGGAAGAGGGAACAATGGGTTGCTGCTATTAACAAACAACACGTGTTCAATGGTGGAGAGCAGCAATTAAAGATCTTTCTTGGCAACAGCAGCGTGACGGGTTGCATGGCCAGCACGACCGATGTATAAGCTGGCGGATGCTGTGACTGATCTCTCGACTCGCAATCAGAACGTCACGGGGATCACGCCCCAGTTGTGGTCGGCTCAGCCGATCATTTCTCCAAGGTCGATCAAATTGGCACCACTTTGCAGGAAGTCATCAGTGGTG